ATTGATGAAAAATGGAGACGATTCCCCAGGGTTAACACTGTGTACAGCCTCTGCACAAATAACCAGAGGTGCTGATGTTCGACTCTATACTGGCATGCAAAATACAGATGCTTTCAGAACCTTATTTGAACATTTACTCCCTAAAGCTAAGAATATGACTTACTGGAAAGGGGATAAGCAAACTGAGGCAGAGAAGCCCGAAAAGTACTCTGATATGACCATGGATGAGTCTCCAAAGTTCAGGAAACTTGGACCCCAAAGGAAACTAAAACTTGGGCAGGAACCTTTACTAGTAATGATGAGGCTTCGCTTAGCTTTTTCTGTTGGGGATCTGGCATTCTGATTTGCAGTATCAGACACTGTTGTCAGTTCAATTTTTTCCTCCTGGATAAAGCTAATGAAAAGTGAGCTCTCAGATGGCTTATCAAGTGGCCCTCTAAGGAGCAGACAAAGTGCTACTAGAGTGCTTTGAAAAATACTACTCTTAAAGTTCGGTGCATTAATTACTGTTCGGAAGTATTTGTTGAAACACCATCAAGCTTAGAGACTGTACAGGCTATTTGTTGGTCAGACTATAAGCACCATTGCATATTTAAGTTTTTGATTGGAATAACTCCTAATGGATCAATTTCTTTTGGGTTGCTATGGGGGTAGGGCATCAGACAAATTTATTGTCATGGAGAGTAGGTTTCATGAACCACCTTGAACAAGTAGGTTCATGAACCACCTTGAGCCATTTGACCAAGTTATGGCCGACAGAGGCTTCAAGATTCGTGATGACTTGGCCATGTATCAGGCTACCTTGGCCATTCTACCAAGTACTGTGGGGAACTTCCAAATGCCATCACAAGATGTGTTAGAAACGTCAAGGATGGCAAATGTGTGCATTCATGCAGAGCAGGCAATAGGAAGGGTCAAACACTTCAAGATTTTAAGTCATATAATGCCAATGAGCTGCCTGCCCTTGTGTGATGACATTCTCATTACAAGTTGTAGCCTATCCAATCTTCTTTCCTCCCCTATGTGAGTAATATATATTAAAGAGAACCAAATATACTAGTGCCTTTATTCTCGCTAGACAGTCTTGCAGTTACATGAAAAAGTTGAAAACTGTTATGCCCATTCACTCCATGTAAATTAAGCAGAGCTGTTCAGTTGCTAGAAAATATTCATCGATAACTTTTAGATACCTATATAATATGAAAAAATTCAACAAAAAGGACTAGAGCTATAGTGCTGATTTCTGTCGCACATCTTAAATGACAGTGATTAATTTATTCAATTGATTTAAGCTCTCTGCAAGAGGAGCATAGCCAGTGAAGTTCTCCTGGTTCAGAAGTGAGCTCCTCACATTCCCAGTGATACCACAGCTCACACTATTTTCACCATCCTTCTCAGTTTTATCAGGTTCCAAGCACAGGCATTCACATTTTGGACAGCAAAAGATACCTACTAAGCCCAGCAAAGCCTTAACAACATAACCTTCGTAAAAGAAAACTAAATTCTGCTCAACTGTTTGATAAAAATACCTCATCTGGCAGAACCTCTTCCACTAAAGGGTCACCTACTTGTGTCCACACAATAAAATACCCCTTACAGTAATTTGATAGGACAATTTCCCCTTGTAATTGGGTGTGGTACTTATGTCCCTTGTTCAGACATACTCTACCACTATCCATCCGCAAAAACTCAGTTCGATTCCAGGCATCAAGAGCCCTTTCACCTTTAATGCTGTATGGACATTTGCATTCTACAATAAATGTTCC